GTGGGAGCTAGAAACCAGGATAAAAGTTCAAAGCTGAGTTATGAACAGCAGTCTCACATAAGGGAGTCATAGGCCAAGAGATCTGGGACAGATAATTAGAATTGCTGAAGGGAGCTGAAGAGCAAGTGGGAACCAAAGAAAAAGCCAAAAGGCAGCATCCAGGAGCAAGTCAGACATCAGGACTGGAGGCAGAAATAAGCCAGGCCTTGTGGCCAAATAACAAAATATAAACATCAGTGTCCAAGAAGAACTTGTTTCTCAAGGAAGGTTCAAATGGAAATTTTACTCCTTTCCTATCCAGTGGCAAGTCTTGATGTATTGTATAAACTACAGTGATGCCTTGACTTATGAACTTAATCCGTCCCAGAAGATGTTCGTAAGTCAAAATGTTCATAAGTCAAATCAGCATTTCCCATAGGAATGCTTTGAAACCCGATTAATCCGTTCCAGCTGTTTTTTGTTCTTATGTTGAGGCACAGTTTGTAAGTCGAAGCATTAGTTCCCATAGGAACGAATGCAAAACCAGTTAATCCGTCCTCTACCACTAGGGGGAGAATTTTTCTTCTTTAACCTAAGATTAACTTAGGTTAAAAAAAGGCCAGGGAGGGAGGGAACAATGGGGAAAAGAGGAAAGAAAGAAAAAGGTCATCATTGGGGCACACAGACCCCTCAGATAAAGGTTTGTGCTTTTAAGCACAAAAAGAGAAAAGACACAGAGAGAGAAGTTAAGGGGCGGGGGAGAGAGAGAGAGTTTGGAGTCTAAAACACATTTTAAACCCACACATTTTACAACAACACATTTTAAATCAAGCAGCCAAAAGACTGAAATGTATTTTAGAGGCCAACAGCCAAACAGACCTTTGCAAACAGTTTTCTGATTTTAAAACCAAAAGACTAAAATGCATTTTAGAGGCCAACAGCCAGACAGACCTTTGCAAACAGTTTTCTGATTTTAAAACCAACAGCCAGCACAGGAACATAACCCCCCCACCTAGCCCAACCCCAAGCTGCAAAGCCCCTTTACAGTAAATAGTGTACTCACCCAGAACAAGCTGTCTCTCTGTTTTAAAAAAGAAAGTAAAAAATCCCCAAAAAATAAAAATACAAAAGCCCCCCCCAATACAGTCCATACGGTACAATACCCAAAATACAGTCCATACAGTACAGTAGGCAGTCTGAAGTCTCTCTCCGTATCCACAGTCTCTAGCCGCTGGGGCAAGCGAGGTAGCAGACAAGTAGCCTCTTTGCTGGCCAACGGTTAACTGAAAGTTCAAATTTCCTGCCTTCCCTATGGCTTTTTTGTTTGTAAGTGAAAGCTCTGTTCGCAAGTCAAAGCAAATATTTGTGAACAGAGCTGTTCATAACTCAAAATGTTCATAGGTTGGGACGTTTGTAAGTCAAGGCATCACTGTATTGTTATTCTTTATTCTCTGCTGTTTGTAATATGGTCAACCCAGGAATCTTCATGGATCCACAATTTCTGGACAGTTACCAAATATTCTTTCTAAAGTTTGGAAGTTTGGCTGCTTATTCAGTACTGTTATGCTTAAATTTATATTTGACTGTTTTGGGGGGGTGTTTAAAAAATCTATATACATATATACTCTCACTAATTTCTAGAATCTTTAAATGGATCTTGGAAAGAAGGAGGATTCGTGCCTTCCAGCACCAGCAGCAGCGGGTATTGGAGCTGGAGTGCTCCAAGCGACCAATCAAATCCATCCACCCCATCACCGCCTCTTTCTGCTGACAGCTTCAAACCATTTCGATTGCTCTCTCAAACAGACGATGGCATTGATGAAGCTGAAACTAGCAGCCTCCTTTTTGATGAGCCCATTCCTAGAAAAAGGAAGGTGAGTAGCATGCTGTGCTAGTATGATACGATAGGACATTTAATCTTCCGAAATTACACGTGAGATGGTGTCACAAAGTCAGATATGGCTTACTCACCCATCCATTGGAATTCCAGATATTTTTTTATTATAATTAATTTTGCCAACAGCCATTCAGCAATATCAGGAAAGGCACATGTTTCCTACTGCCAAGTAGCCCTTCTTCACAAGTTGTAATAATGTGAGATTCCACAATGAAGTTGAATTTAAGTCTCTTTTTTCAAAACTTAGTAAAATAATATAGACATTTATATCCTATGCTAGTTATGGCTTTTTTCTATATCTTAAAAATTAATGTCATGGTCAGCTGGTTGCCATTAACTTTCATCCAGGAATAAACCACATTAAATAGTATGCAATTTACTTCTGTGTTAACAGTGTTGTGGTATTAGTCAATTGAATGAATTTTAGTTGGTTTAAAGTCATTGTGCTGTTGATTAAACTTGCCTATGCACAGGACAGTAGCTTTGAGAAAAATGGATAATGTGCATGTTTGTATGCTTCATATAATCTTCCAGCCTGTGTGAGAGAAATACATGGAAAGCCTCTTTTAAGACAGTCCTTGCCATCTGTACTTGTGATAACTATTTGTATTACAGGTAATGTTTTCCTAAAAGAAATTTACTGTCTGCTTAGGAAGGAACAATGTTTTAGTTTGTGAAAATGACACTAACTCATCCATCAGTAAAATATTCTATTTAATAGTATGTACTGTTTATTCTTACTGCTTAAATGGCTCAGAATGTATTACGATTCTTGACAGTTTTGGTGAGCAATAAAACTTGTGAATTGAAGAACAGAAATGGCCTTTAGAAGTACATATATAAATTGGTCAACCCAACTATTACCGTATTTTTCGCTCCATAAGACGCACAGACTTTCCACACCCGTGTTTTGTGGGGAAAAAGTGAGTCTTATGGTGCAAAAAATACAGTAATTATCCTATGTTTTTGCCAAAGTCATCAGGATGTACTATGATAAATTTTTTAAGAGATACTTTTTCTTCTTGGCTGGACATGGTCTCAGGCTTAAAGAAATAATTATAGTATTTTTAAAAAATCTCAAACCATACAGACTGCAGTCAGTGCAATATACATACCCTCAGTGTAAGCACATCACAAGCATTACATCAGAACATTACAAAAACCCACCTTGAAATGTTCTATATTCATTGCTTCTTTTTGCTGTCCAGCATTATGTTTGTACAAATATAGCAAAAGACTTTGGTTAGCTGCTGTGTTAGCTGATGAATTTGGACTGTGTTTAGCATCTCTGTCTTTTTTGGTCTTCACTTAAGAGGAAACCAGGAAGACACCTGGGCAAGTGAACTATGAATGATGTATATTTTTAAAGAGTTTTGCACCAAAACGACTGCACACTCCTTACAGAGCACTAGGAGATCAACCAAGCATTGTTATGTTATGTACCATCAAGTTGCATATGACTTACGGCAACCCCAATGAGGTTTTCAAGTTATGTGAGTTATTTAAGGAGTTTTTCTACTGTTGCCATCCCCAATAAGTTTCCATGGTAAAGTGAAGATTTGAACCATTGTGTTTAGTGGGGCTTACTCTCTGTTTAGACCAAAACTGTTTAGACTTACAATTGTAAGTTGGATTAATTCTAGCAGAGCAGGACATGTCCTTATATATGATCCACAGAAGTCAAACAAATGTGTGAACAAATTAATTAATGTTTTCTTTTTTAATTTCATAGAATTCCATGAAGGTAATGTTTAAATGCCTTTGGAAAAACTGTGGGAAAGTGCTGAGCACAGCTGTTGGGATTCAAAAACACATCCGGACCATTCATCTCGGGTAAGGAGAATGATTCCATGTAACTATGAAAACATTTATGTCCAGTTACTATCATTTTCTTGGAAGCAAACTTAACAGATTTAACTAATTTTAGCCTAAGTACATTATGTGGATATTGGTGCCATTCTATATTTTTCTGTCTTTTTATTTCTGGCTTTAAGTTAATGTAGATATTGGTACAGTTCCCACTTTTATTAGGATATATATTTAAAACATATGCAGGAGTTTATTTTCTGTGCCAAGTGACTTTTGCACTTCACCCAAGCACAGATCTAATCAGGGCCTGCTGGGGGGCATAATTAAGAGTTACAGTCCAAGGTTTTATAATTGGTAACTTTTCCAAGCTGAGTAAGACTGGCAGACAAGGCTAGTTCAGAAACCACAATAAACTATGGTTGATTGTGACAGTAAGAAATTTCAGAAAGCTTTTTGCTCATGCTCTGTCTCCTTCATATCTCCTCCTATGTGGCCCTGACAAAGCTATCTTGGTTTGTTTTGTTCAATCCTGACACATTCTCATAACTTTAGTAATAATAATTGCTTGTCATCAAGTCTTTTTCGACTTATGGCAATTCTTTCCAGGGTTTTCTAGGTACTGGGTACTCAGAAGTGATTTACCATTCCCTTCTACTGGTCTGCTTTGGAGGTGTGCAGCTTGTCCAAGGCTACACACATTGGCTCTTCTCTCAGGAGCCACAGTGGGGAATCAAACTTCTGGTGTCATAACCAGATACTTGAACAATCTCATCTTAATCTTAACTATGGTTGTTTGAAATAAATAGTTTCAACAAACTGCTGTTCAGATAGAACATTAAACTGCAGTTAATAAAAGTTAATGACTGAAATCCTGTTGCCTAGCATAGTAAGTTGCACTAGAGTATGCCCATTAAATTAGAGGGCATTTGGTGAGTCAATTCTATCATAGTAGGCCTGTTGGTTAAAATGGGCCTACTCTAGTTACAACTTATTCTGCTAAGCAACAGAGTTTCAGTTCTTATCTGAAATTATTAACAGATTAGCAAACAGATGGAAATTAAGTGATTGAACCAGAGTACAATGGCTTGAATCCCATCCATGCAATCAGTAGAATCAGTTGGCAAACATTTTGAACTAGTTTGGGTGCTTCTGTGATAGCATGCTGTAATCTTCCACGCATGTCATAAACCAACATCTTGTACAGAGGAAAGTTTCCTGCTAGAATAAGACCAGTTTGAAGGCTTTGAACTAATTTGCTAGCTTTTCATCTGGATATAGGGTCTCTGACCTGTAGCCTATAATCTACAGTCACCCAGGGAAAGCTTTAGTACTTGGTTTTGCTGAAAGAATAAATTGATCTACAGTCAGTGACAGAATTAAGGAGAACATCTGGGCATGGTCCTGAAAAAAACAAATTCAGAGCCTCTATAGTCTGTGCTTAACAGATACTATGGTTGGGAAAAGAAGCTTTATCTCAATATTTGTCCAACATGCAGAAGTCTGCAGTTCTAAGATTATTATTACGATTATTTTGATTAAGTCTAAATTGTGCATACAGATTTTATGTGCACACAGTATTATTTCTGCCACTTAAGTCCCCTTCAGGTTACAGATGTAATAATTAAAATCTGGTTTCCTGTTATTCCATGCTTTTCATAGATACATTCATACACATACACACATATATAGTACATGTACATACATAGAGGCACTACGAGATTTAAAAGAATGTTCATGTTGATTGTACCATTCAGTACATGTAGAGAGAAGTAATTTTTTGCATGTATCCAAATAATAAGAGTTCTAATTTACTTTAATAAATTTAGGACACTGCAAATAACTTCTTGGTCTTCACTTGATCTAGGCGTGTAGGAGAATCTGACTACAGTGATGGAGAGGAAGATTTTTACTACACGGAGATCCGTCTCAACACTGATTCAGTAGCGGATGGATTAAATAGTTTATCTCCCGTTTCTCCATCCCTAGCATCTCCTCCTTCTTTTCCATGTCAAGATGCAAGCAAAAATGAGCTGTCATGTGCCAAAACAGATGCTAAAGGGATGACACCTCTAAGCCGCTCAGCTCCTACCAGCCTCTACCTCGTTCACTCTGACCATGCTTACCAGGTAACAAATCTTTTCCACATCAGAGTGATTGGGCTCATTCAGATGTAACAGAGAAGCACGGTATTCCTCCCACGTGAACCAGCAGTAGTGAGATTCAGGATTACATTTGGGTCCTCTCCTTCTCTTTTGTGTTCTCAGTGAGGAAAAGCTTGTTAATATTGGCTGATCAAGCACTGTTCTTGATAACACAAGCATCTTGGCACTAGGTAATCTAAGGTAATGAACACATCCAATGCAATAAGAATCCATTATCTTGCTTTATACGTTAGGATTAGGATTATGAATTTCACCATGACAATGGTATTGTGAATGGTCAGTGTAAATAATGTAACTGTCCCTGTTAGTACTTTGTGTATTCAGTTTCCTCTCAACTAGCTGATTACAGTTCTAGCCCCAGCCCCATGTACCGTATATATACCGTATTTTTCCATGTATAAAACAACACTTTTTCCTAAAATAATTAGGGGAGAAATTGAGGATTGTTTTATACACGGAAGGAGGCAAAGGCAAAGGAGCACCCCCGCATGCTTGGGCATCTCTTGCTCCCGCTGCCCATTGCCTCCTCCAGTGCGACTGCCGGGGCTCACCTCCAGCTCACGTTGCTGCCTTGTCCCCTCTGGTGGCAGAGGCGGCAGCAGCAAGAGGCAGAGGCAAAGGAGCACTCGCACGCGCTCAGGCACATCTTGCTGCTGCCCATTGACTGCTGCTGCCACCACTGAATTGCCTCCTCCAGCGGTCACATCACCACCTTGTCCCCTCCAGTGGTCGAGGCAGCAGCAGCAGCAGGAGGAGGAGGAGGTGGAGATGGAGGCAAAGGAGCAGGCACATGCACTCAGGTGCCTCTTGCTGCTGCCGCTGCCACCCATTGCCTCCTCAATCGGGTTGACATCTGGACTTTGACTGGGCCATTGCAGCTATTCTGTTGTAGATGTGCTGGTGTACTTGGGATCATTGTCCTGTTGCATGACCCAATTTCGGCCTAGCTTTAACTATCAGACACATAGCCTGGCATTTGACTCTAGAATACTTTGGTATACAGAGGAGTTCATAGTCAACGTCAATACTGTAAGGCACCCAGGTTCTTGGCTGCAAAACAAGCCCAAATGATCAACCCTCCACCACCGTGCTTGACAGCTGGTGTGAAGTGTTTGTTCTTCTATGCTGTGTTTGGTTTTTCACCAAACATAGTACTGTGCATTATGGCCAGACATCTTCACTTTGGTCCCCTCTGTCCAAAGGACATTGTTCCAGAAATCTTGTGGTTTGTCCAGATGCAACTTTGCAAACCTAAGCCATGCTACCATGGTCTTTTTAGAGAGAATAGGCTTTCTCCTGGCAACCCTTCCAAACCAACTCTACTTGTTCAGTCGTTTTCTAATTGTACTGCCATGGACTTTAACATTTAACACGCTAACTGAGGCCTGTAGAGTCAGATATTGGATTTTTGCAATTTATCTCCTGGGAAGACTGGCAACTGTCCTGAATGTTTTCCTCTTGTGCATAATTGAATGATGGACTTTAAACTGTTTGGAAATGGCTTTACCCTTTCCAGATTGTTGGGGAGCAACAATTACTTCTCTACAATAATTGCTGATGTGTTTCCTCCTTGGCATTGCGTTAAAACACATCTGAATGCTCCAAACCAGCAAACCCCTAAAACTTCAGCTTTTATAGAGTTGCTCACACTTGCTGATGATCAATTACTTGAGGGCATTTGGTTAGCAACACTTGGGTGCTACTTAACCTTTTAATTCCTATGGAAGCAGTAATGGGGATACGTAGTTTTTCACACATGGCTTCTCCATTTTGGCTTTATTTATGTAAAACAAATTGTGATATGATGTAATATGACATGTGTTGTTGTTCATCTGAGGTTTCGTTTTGTAATTTTCAGACCTGCTAAGGACCAGATAACTTTTATTATGTCCTGATACATAAAATCAAGGAGGGTGTACTTTCTATTTCACATAACTGTACATGAAAATGAGGGTAACATTCAATAAATCTGGTGAAATCAGCTAAACTCCATGAAAGTCTAGGCTGTAATAATATTGTCACTTCTTTAAGATGCTGTAGGATTCTTGGTTGTTTTCGCTGTAGCAGATTAATCCTTTGGGAATTGCTTTCCGTATTTTTAGGCCCTCGCCATATCCCTCAGAGAACTACATGAAAAGTAGAATGGCAGTTTATTATGATCTTTTTCCAATGCCACCACTGACTTGTAATCATTTGTGTGAGACACTGGTCCAAATCTTCTGGTGAAATACCATGTGCATAAGTGCAGTCAGTTATCACATTTCTGCCAGCCATCTTTCACAGTGCCCAAACACACAACTGAGCAGACAGCCAGTTGCATGACCCAACCATGTCCAAGCAGACATAGGACAGCAGGCAAAATTGAACTTGTATGGATTCTGGCAACTATAAAGATAATTCTGATGAAATATTCTTCCCAAACTGACTGTGTTTATTTAAAACAGGCCACAGCTCCTGTGAACATCCCAGGTTCCACGAAGTTCACACCCAATGGAAATGGCTTTAGCATCTCTTGGCAGTCACCCCCTGTTACCTTCACTGGTGTTCAAGTAAGTAGAAAATCAAGAGCTGGTTGGATAGTGTAGTAACTTAGGTATCTGGCTGTGGATCCAGAGGTTGGAAATTCAATTTCCTACTGTGCTTCCTGGGAGAAGGGCAAGCCTGGGTAGCCATGGGCAAGCTGCATAGTCCCAGGCCATCCTCAGTAGAAGATAATGGCAAACCACTTCTAAATATTCTCTACCTAGAAAACCCTAGAAAGAATCAACTTAATTGCACACAGTCAATGGTGTGTGCCTGACAGGGCTTAATATTGTTCTTTGAACATGCCCTTGCAGACATATTCTGAGCTAAATTCAGCAGTATCTGAATGGCATTTCACTTGCTTTATTTTATTTTATTTATAAACAAATTACTATATCCCTCCCCTTTCAGCCCTGTCTCAATCTTTGCCATTGGAACAAACCTGTGGGCAGTGTGAGAGCTGTGGTAGGGAAAGGAAATTTCATCTGCTAATGCTATTTGTTCCATTGGTTGATCTTGGATACAACCGTATGTCATCTCCTCTTCCCTCCCCCATCCTCTCCCATTCATTTCTGTGTGGATTCATCATTGGCATAAAAAACAAGCTACTGTACTGGAAATTGGGCACACTCTGGGCCACTTAATGTATGGTTTGTTTAATGTATTGCATCTTATACTGATGCTTGGTATAACATCCAGTATTTGTATGTTGCTCCATGACCACAGAAATTTGTATAGAACTTACTCCCATTTATTCCAATATCATATCAGTTAATGTTGGACATCCTCCAGTCTGTTATTCTTTAAGATCAATATGACGCTTGCTGGCAAGTTTCCCCTTCTCCTCACCTTCTCGTGAGCACGGTTTTTGTTGACTTGTTGTCCCCATATTAATTCCCATATTACTTTCTATCATCCTTCTGTCTAACGTATCATACTTCCTTTGTTTGCCATGTTTCTCAGCAGTTAATACTTCATATTTTATCTAATACCAATGAATACCATAAGTAAATGAACAGTATTCTAATTTATATTAAAATAATTGTTCCAGCATTTAAATGATTGCCATCAGAGCATAAGTCTCCTTTGATATCAAAGCCTTCCACCTAAGGCTACATGTTCAAATTTTTCCATTTGTCATAAATGCACACTAGTTATACAAAACCTCTGCTTTCTGACAGTGTGAATTAGACACCGATAAGGAACTGCCCGCTTCTTCTCTCTTCACCAAGTGAATCACAAAAGCCTCTTACTGTCAACCTTTGGCATGTCTCGGAGGTTTTCTGTAGAGTCTGAGGTCTCCTGCTGAGCTGATAAAAAATGAAAGTAGCTGAATCAATTACATTGCATTCTACCAATGAATATTTATTAAATTCCATCAAGGAACAGCCAGTGGTGAAAGGCATCCTGCTGGTAGCAATTTGAACAAGAGACTCTTAGCAGAACATGCTGTGCATAAAATACTCCCAAAATTTGATTTCATGACAATATGGTTGATCTAGAGTAATTATAAAGGTGGTTTCTTCTCCATGGCACTGCAGAAAATTGGCACTAGTGGAAGAAATTCAAGGTTCTCATTAGTCACTCTGTAAAACCAGACACTGATGGCAACTGGTTTAAGCATGTAGGTACTGTATTCAGATTGCTTCAGGCAATACCAAAGATCATATGCTCATTATGTACAAGCACTCCAGACAATGCTTTATTAGGTAGATGGGCAGATAGATTGATAGATATACATACACATACAATGTACAGTATATTCATTCTACTACTATAGCACAAAAAACTGCAACTAGAGAAGGCCCATTTGAATCAATGCAACTTGCAAAAGAATTGACTTATCAAATCCCCACTGATTCAGTGGGCTTACTCTAGTGCTACATATTATGGTAAGCAACAGGATTTCCATTCCATAATTAATTTTATTTTATTATTTTAAAATTTTATAATAAGAGACAATTTTGTATCTAAGTGCATTTTCTAATTTCTGTAACATATCTAAATGTTCTGTTGGATGTACATAGTGCTGTATGTTTAAAAACAACCAAACAGTTACGGGCCGTGATGTCAATTCTGCTTTATGGCAATCCTTTCCAGTCTTTTCTTGATACAGTAGAGAGTTCTCAGAAGCATTCTGCCGTTCCCAGGGCATTGAACTCCAAACCAGATACCTAAGATGCTGAGCTATCCAGCAAATTCCATGTTTATGGTGTGTTAAGTATCTTGCCCTTTTCACCCTGTTAACTGGAATGTCCTAGGAAATCAAACCAAATACCAGAAATACAGGCATACTGCCAAAGGATTAAAGTGTGTGTTGCGTCTGTTGCATAGAGGTAGCAGGACTATGTCAAAGAAGGAAGCACAGGTTTTAAGTCATAGGATGTATTATGAATCTTGGGAAGGAATATTTGTTTTACAGCTGCAGGTGGAAATAAGTTACAAAATGTTCTCTCTTTAGTTTCTTCTAGGAAGATCCATCTCCTTTAGATGTTTGAGGTATAGTTTAGTATAATTTGAGGTATAGTATGACCACTTTGAGGTTTTATTGTATCCAGAAGTGTATAGTTACAGCATCTGACTTGAATTTTCAATGTACGTGAGATACTCCAGGAGTGATTTTACCATTGCCACCCTTCGTTAAGTTTCATAGTTGAGCAAGGATTTGAACCAAGTTCTATTCATTCCTAGTCCACCACTTTATGCATAACTTCACTGGTTTATTCAGCTAGTATACAAATATTACCAATAATATAAATACTCTTGTGCCTGAATAAATTGTGATGATGTCTAAGAGACCTGTCCCTCAACAAAAAGTCTTTTTGTGGTTTGATGCCTTTTTTGTGGTGGGATGGCCATATGTTGGCCACCGCTTCTTTGCGAAAAATGAGGACAGACATCACCAAGAAGGGGGATATTCTTCCCAAAAAAGGAGGAAATTTTTACATTAACTTGCATATGCTAAATTAAACTAATATACAGTTGTGTTCAAAATTATTCAACCCCCAATGCTGTAAAGGGGTTTAGGGACTATAGTGTACATTTGGAATTGTATTCAGAATCAAATCCTACAAGGACGTTTTAAAGAACCAAATGCAACTAAAATAACATCAATTGTTTATGTAATACAGTAGTAAATGTTTCTTTTGTGGTTTCTTCATTGCCACAATTATTCAACCCCTTAAAGACTACCACTCTGAAGAAGAGAGGTTCATTCAGGTGTTTTCGATCAGGTATTGAAAACACCTGTGGATGTCACCGAGCACCAATCAAGCATAATAAGCACCAATTAGGCAGCTTTAAAATGACTGTGATACTCAGCTCCTTCTAGACATTTACTGGTGTGGTTACAAACATGGTGAAGTCAAGAGAATGGTCCAGGAAGACAAGAGAAGAGGTGATTTGTCTTCACAGGAAGGGCAATGGCTATAAGAAGATTGCAAAGAAGTTAAACATACCAAGAGACACCATAGGAAGCATCATTCGCAAATTCAAGGCAGAGGGCACTGTTGAAATGCTACCTGGTCGTGGAAGAAAGAAGATGCTGACTTCGACTGCTGTGCGCTACCTAAAGCGTAGAGTGGTGAAAAGTCCCCATGTGACTGCTGAGGAACTGAAAAAAGATTTGTCAGATGTGGGTATAGAAGTTTCAGCTCAGACAATAAGGCGCACACTGCGTAATGAAGGTCTCCATGCCAGAACCCCCAGGCGCACCCCCTTGCTGTCTCCCAAGAATAAGAAGAGTCGACTGCAGTATGCCAAAAGTCATGTGGGCAAACCACAAAAGTTGTGGGATAGTGTTCTGTGGACTGATGAAACAAAATTAGAACTGTTTGGGCCCATGGATCAACGCTATGTTTGGAGGAGGAAGAACAAGGCATATGACGAAAAGAACACCTTGCCTACTGTGAAGCATGGCGGAGGGTCAATAATGCTTTGGGGCTGTTTTGCTTCTGCAGGTACAGGGAAGCTTCAGCGTGTACAAGGTACCATGAATTCTCTTCAGTACCAGGAGATATTGGATGAAAATGTGATGCAGTCCGTCACACACCTGAGGCTTGGGAGACGTTGGACCTTTCAACAGGACAATGATCCCAAGCATACCTCCAAGTCCACTAGAGCATGGTTGCAGAGGAAAGGCTGGAACATTTTGGAGTGGCCATCGCAGTCACCAGACTTAAATCCGATTGAGAACCTCTGGTGGGACTTAAAGAAAGCAGTTGCAGTGTGCAAGCCTAAGAATTTGACTGAACTGGAGGCTTTTGCCCATGAAGAATGGGCGAAGATACCCGTAGGTCGCTGCAAGACACTTGTGTCAAGCTATGCTTCATGTTTAAAAGCTGTTATAACTGTAAAAGGATGTTGTACTAAGTACTAAGATTGAATGTCACTTGGGGGTTGAATAAAAACTAATAATGATGTGAGCACAGAAAAGACATTTGTGGTTATTTCATTATAAACTTAAGGTTATATTTCTCTGACCTACAAGTGCCTCTTTCATGTAAATGTAAGCAAGATGACTGAATGATCAAAATCAATGTCAAAATGGCCAAAACATTCAATTTCAGTGGGGGCTGAATAATTTTGAACACAACTGTACCCAAATATCATCACAGTTGGATAGAACTGCTGTGGTTTAAGTGGGAATATACTTCTACTCACTCTTTTGTATAGGTTGTGAATAGGGAAACTATATTGGGATATAGCAGTGAGATAAAGAGGGGAGATATATTAAATGATTAAACAAGGCGAAGAGAGTTTAATAACTCTCTGAAATGCCTTGTGCTTGTAGCTTATACACCTTACTCCTATATATTGTGTATATACAGTGGTGCCTCGCTTAACTATTGTCCCACATTATGACGAATCCGCTTTATGACAATCTTTTTGCGATCGCAATTGCGATCGCAAAACGATGGTCTAAATGGGGGAATTTAGCTTAGCGATGATCGGTTCCCTGCTTTGGGAACCGATTTTCGCTTTACAACAATCAAAAACAGCTGGTCGTCAGGTTTTCAAAATGGCTGCCGGGTGCTTAAAATGGCTTCCCGCTGTGTTTAGGGACGGATTCCTCACTATACAGGCAGCGAAAATAGCCGCCATATGGAGGATCTTTGCTGGATGGTGAGGTTTTACCCCATTGGAATGCATTGAATGGGTTTCAGTGTGTTTCAATTGGGTTTTAAATTTCGCTTTACGATGTTTTTGCTTAACGGCGATTTTCCTGGAACAGATTATCGTCGTTAAGTGAGGCACAACTGAAAGTGTATTTTCTAATTTCTGTAACATATCTAAATGCACTGTTGGATGTACACAGTACTGTGTTTAAAAACAACCAAACAGTTATATTATATACACTCTATATATAGAGAGAGTGTATATATAGAAAGAAAGAAAATCAGAGATTGCTGTACAGCTAACTGCCCATTTTGGTTAGTGCTACATTCACATTTCTTGCATTTAGAAAATGGACAAATTTTGGCTATTGTTAAATTCTGACCAAATATACACTGAAACCAAATTCTACTGTCAGAGATCCAATGGGACTGAGCTGATGAGCCAGCTGTTGAGAAACAGCATATTAGGTAAGTGATGACGAGTTTTCTTTTCCAGAACTCTGCTGGTCTAGTACAGTGGCTTCCAACCTTAGGTCCCCAGATATTCTTGGACTAAAACTCCCAGAAGGCTTCACTACTTAGCTGTGGTGGCCAGGATTTCTGGGAATTGTAGTTCAAGAACATGGAGATCTAAGTTTGGGAACTACTATTCTAATGGGAAGGATATCGCTGGTAGTAGCAGATTGCTGCTAATTAAAGAGTTCCCTTTTATTATTATTATTTCAGGATGTGCAAGACTTAGTTCTAATGAGATAAGGTTGTACACCCCCTATAATAACAAAAGGGAACTTTTTAATTAGCAGCAGTTCAACATTGCAGACAGTGTTATTCCTGCTTTGTCAATGGAGCTCCACAAGGGGATTCTGACCAGTGTGACTCTGTGGTGCCCCTTCCAACTTAAATTCTCTAATATGAATTCCCTTTTTCTCTCTGATGCTAGGTCTCACCAACTCACACACGTCCTGCAGGAAATGGAGAGCAAAAGCAACAGATTCAGACAGTTCTATCATCACCACCTAGAGCGTCAGTTGGCCTAAGGTAAGAGGCATTTCCCATTCAGCACCCATGCACTGAATGAACCAGGGAGTGGGGACTGTCAACCTGCTTCTTCTCCACTACCCATGTTTACACAAAGATCTTTTTAACATAGCTAGAAAGGAAAGTCTAAGAATATTTTATTTTGTCATTCATTTGTTTTGTTTTTTTTTTAAACTTACGTCCTATCCTTTTAGTGTTTTCACATCACACATGCGGGGTGGAAAACAACATAGAGCATTCATAAAATACTATAAAAAATCACATAAAATAAAATTAGCGAACAAAAATATAAGACAAACGGATGGAGAGTATAAATGCATGCCACAAATGACCAAGTAAACAGAAATGTGTTTTTGTTGGTTTGTTTGTTTGTTGGTCATATGGTGGAATACTGTCAGAAGGAATGTTTGGACAAGAAATTTCTACCCCTCTGAATACAAAGTATCCTTCAATGCTTCTTAATGTTTGTCTCAGTCCAAAAAAATACAAAAGCCATCTTCAATCTGCTCTTTAGTCAGAAAAATAAACAGTCACAAATTCACTGATTTGTTCCTTAGTTAAGAAACGCGGAGGAAAAGAAAACTATAGAAATATAGTTTTGCATTGCTGGCAGGAGTTTTAAAACCTGTTGCAGAGATATGGATAAAAAAGATTTAAGAGAATCCAGTTTTTAGCAGATGGGTCTAAAGGGGTGCCTTTTCTTTTTTAAATGATGGAAAAGAACAGGCATCAACTTTACTTTTTATTTAGGCTGCAGTTCTACACATTGACCTTGAATAGGCCCCACTGAATCAGTGCATCTTACTTAAAAGTAGAGATGGGTAGTGCTATTAGTGGAATATATGGCTTTCTTTTTGACATGAGAGAGAACCCTAAAAATAGAAGAATATGAATGTGTCATGTCAAGCTGGGTTTCTTTATTGAGATATGCCTTTGCAAATAATACAGAATCACAAGAAATAAAACTTGCCATATTAAAAATCTGGAACCCTACTTGATACGTGTGTTACTCTGTGGAAATTCCATTTATTTATTAGATCTCCCATTGTTTTTTAGATCCCCCATACTATATATGCAATCTATGATGAAACTAATATATTGACTAATATAATGATCCATAGGGCCCCTTCCAGCTCTGCAGTTCTAGGATTTTTTTTAGGTATACCTATCCAAATCCTATATCCCTTGCACTGCTTTGGCATCTTGACTCTTTTCCCTTGTCTCTTCTACTTACACTGTGTTTTTCTTTGATCTGAGATAGCAGGGTCACAGTTTTCAGATTTTCAATGTTCTCCTTTCAGTATTTTGGATGAGATAATCATAAATCTTAGTAACCTAGGCTTTCATTCCACTATTCATACAGAAAACCTAGAGGAGAGGGCAAGAAATGCCGTAAAGTATATGGGATGGAGAACAGAGATATGTGGTGCACAGCTTGTCGCTGGAAAAAGGCCTGCCAGAGGTTCATTGACTGAAGAACAGACATAATATGGAGGAACTTATTCAAGGAATTCCTTGCTGCAGCTGCACGACTCTTCCTACATCACTGAGTGCTCATGTCTATTGAATGATTGCACTTTAAAGCAACATAGTTGTATCTAGGAAGGATTTCTCAAAGGTCTATAGGCAGCAATATAGAGGAAGCTAACAACGAAAACCTTTAAAATTTTGAATCAGGAGCAGCTATATGCGTTTTTCTTTAAAGAAGAAAAATGATCTTTTTAATAATCTTGGACAATATACGTGCCAGCACCACAATTTTTGGTCCTGCGTCATTGTCTCCGTTGTGAACTTTGGAATCAGAACAAGCAAAAATCAAGTGACACTACTTTTCCTGAAATAGTTTTTTTAATGCATATGTTAAAAAGTGTGTTTCTAAATGATACTTTACAGATGCATAAGCTACAATTTTCTCAAGAGTATATCACCTAGAAGTGTTGAATAATTCTAACTATGACTGGTCTCGATTCACAGTCCTGGCTGTGAACTTTAGGGATATTAGAATATTGCTTTGCTGGAAGGACAAGGAGCATCTGGAAGAGGATTTTTAAGAACAATCTCACACCAAGACATGAAGCTTAAACTTCACTTTTATTTCTATCCTAATGAGGATACATTGGGGAAGTCACCAGCATACCCAAATTAAAAGTAAAGCCACAAGCGGGAAAAGAGTCTTGACTTCAACTGAATTTAGATTGAAATAAGCATAAGAACTGGAGTTCTAGGATCTCTTTCCTGGAAGTCATCTGTACATCTCACAGTTCTGGAAGCCTTGTTGAAAACTAAGCAGGGACTGCCAGCTGGACTTCATTAGCATTTATTCAGGGATGAAATCCAACTTAGCAGCTTCCTTCCCTGCTTTTTTAATGACATTTTTAGACAAGCAGTCGGTTTAAAATGCAAAGCACTACTTCTATGAGTGCGGTGTGGAAGGAGGCAGCAACAACAGGAGAATATCTCCCCATTTAAGCTTTCCAACAAATAAGCAAAGCAGCTGTATGTATGTAAAAAGTCCATTTGATGATGATGCTATTTCTAGGGTAGATAATAAAAGCCTTCTCACTGGGTTGCACTTTGATAGGTTTTCGTGCTTTAGTGTAATTTAGTACTCTTTTGGCCCCTGAGAAGGCACAGATTATTTCAGCATGATGGGAAAAAAATGAGCTAATGCTTGAAAATCGGTGGGAATTTTCAGCACAGGTGCACTGGAAAGATTGTCTGCACAGGCCTTACTAAAATAAATGAGATATGTGCAGGAGTACTAACATATTTTAATTTTGGTAGGTCTTGTGTTCAAAAACATCTTGATGGATTTTGTCCTATAATATTAAGCGAAGTGGGATAAAAGAGGTATCCCAAGTTGGGAAAACAAAAGCAAGAATGAGAGTCCATATGGATGTTCAGCCCAAATGTTGTATGGTGGCATGTCATAGGTAAAGGTGATTTGTTAGTTTGCCTTAGAGGAACCAGTAGTGGAATACACCACAAACCTCTTACTACACGATCTGTCTGTGATCAAGAAGGGTGGAAAGCACAAAATTTGGTGGGAACACAGAATTTGTCACTAAGGCTGATTCTCATGTGAACATCGGCCCCAAACGATTAAATTAGCTTTAATAAAAGAACACTTATTTTGTAGCGTCTCTGGATAGCTAGGATTGCCTTGCAAAATAAGACTGTTTAGTTTAAAACCTGTCTGTTTCATTGGTGGGTTTACTTTGATTTAGGCACTCCCGGGAGAAATTCATGCAGTTTTCTCGTAACTACTACAAAGAATGCAATTCTCGGGCATAAGGCATAGGTCTCCCTAGAGACTTGGCAGTAAAATAATAAAAGGCATGAGATCAATACGAATGAAATATTTCCTCCTTTACAACTTGGGCTCTATTTATGTTTAACTGAGCCATGGGAATTAAGAAAAATGTAAGATCCAGGAAAAAAGTGAAACTTTATTTTTATTTAACTGCGTTAAGTTGTGTTTGGCAAGCGTGTCTCCAAAATGTGATGTTTGCATGAGCAGGCAGCTAGTTTGCTAGTTCCAGACGTGTATACCTACAGAAATAATTACATTGTGTTCTATCTTGAATGTTTTAGTTTGAGATCTTACCTTTTTATCCCTTTGGAAGTTGACCATCCTCAGTCTGGAATTCACCCAATTGTATTCACCCATACCGCAACCTCTGTTCTGAGTTGCTGGGAAACAAATACAGACATTAATTTGGGCTAAGTGGAACAATGGTGTCAATCCAGATAAGGCAACTTTTGCATAATAAAAGTAATGTTTTTTGTTTTTTTGCACACAGATATGATGGATGTCAAAAAAGTGGTGATAGGTCTTTCAAAACCAACTGCTAATTCCAGGTAGAATAAACCCACTGAATCAATGGGTCTACCCAGTTGGGATGAGCATTTAGATGTAGGCTGAAGACATCATGTTCCAAGAGAAATGAACATTCCTAGAAAGCAATCAGCACTTTACAAACAGAACCAGTAATTACATCGTCCACATTCAGAAAGCAATTTCTCATACGTGTTCCAGCTAGAGTATGCAGAGATTATTTTAATGCTGCTTGAACCCTGTTTAATTCACATGGTCCTATTCTAGTTCTGTGGTATTCTGTACCTGTTTTCACAAAACAATACTAAGTATGTTCAGAAGACACCATGAGCCAGAATTCGTTAGAGTCTTGATAATTCTGGTTTGTCTGAAACGAAGCAGTATGTAGAAGGAATGATTATTTTCAATGGAAACACGAGTAGCTAAACAAACCAAGGGCCTGTTGTCTGTGATTTGTTTGTTGAAGCATCCAAACTCAGTGTTGTCTCTCCTTGGACAAGCCAGAGTCATAGGAATTCTTGTTTATTGTCATATCAGAATACACACTCAGAACTGTCTGGTGAAAACAGATCTAAAATACCGCAGAGCCAGAACAGAGCTGTATGAAGTGTGCATGCTGCAAAGAGAGCAGAAAATTGGCTGAACATTTGCATGTTTTGGTGTTCAGACATAGCCATTGCTGTACAGCTTGCAACATGACAACTTATGTTATGAAAATACACTATTATTATCTGTAGATATTAACCGGGCCTGGAGACAGTATGACAGAAATTATACTGTGAGGGCATTTATTAGAAACATGAAATGAAAGCGAAATTGGCCACAGACTTGTGTATTTGGTTGCATGTATTTAATGTGCTTGCAAAATTGGTGGCGGGGGGGTGTAGTTTGATATATGCCAATTTCTTCTTCGTGGTCTCTGAATGCACACAAATGGGTTTATCTGTGCCTGCGCAGGACTCCTCAGAACTTTCTAGAGCTTAAAAACACGTGATTAGTGAGACGTTCCCCCATGGAGTGCGTGCTCTGCCCGTTGAAAGTTCCCTCCATTTCTTTTAGCCACTGCTGAGGTTAGACTCCTTCATGATGATTAGAGCAACTTTTTTCATATTGCAGTCTCCGGATCTCTGTTCTGCCTTCTAGGCATCTCCAACATTTGGTTATCCTGTTGAATGTTTCCCTGTGAGTTATTTTGCATTTCTTTCCGTTTTCCCCCGTGCTTTCATTTCCCTGCTTCCCGCCCTTTTATGGACCCCCCAGGCCCGTTTAAATGGTGCGTTTCGTGTACCAACAAGATCCCTTTATCTGACGGCCATGATCATTGTCTTTTTTTCTTTGAGGGAAAAGCACCAAACTCACTCCTGTCTGGAGTGTAAGAGACTGGACAAGCCTGTTCTTAAACTCCACCTGCAGTGTCTTCGGTCCTTGCTGTGGGAAAAGTCCCTCAAACCTTGTCCTCAAAGTTGAAATCAGCTTTGAGCTTGAAGCCATCCTCGACACAGGCTTGAGAATCCTCTCCTAAGCAAAAGAATAATCAGGCTAAGCAGAAGAAGGCTAAACATCCTTCTAAGCCTAATCAATTGCTAGACCCTTCTTCTCATCAACCAACTCTTCCATCTCCAATTCTAGAAGAGTCTTCCAGAGAAGTACCTGACTTTTTGTCAGAGATGGAGAGTCCTCTCCCACTACAGCCGAGCTAGGCTCCGACCTCTCTATTGAGCCTCTCGCCAAGTCATGGCCCTTCGATGACTGGTGTTAGCTCGGCCCATATGAGTCGTGCATCCACAGGGTGAGCAACAGTCATTCAGCTCTCCAATTCTGACTCCTCCTTGCGACAGTCACCTCCTCGCAAGGGTCTGGCGAAGCGGCACTATCTCTTGCCTTCATATCGAGGAGATCTACTACCTACATAAGCCCTCGCAACGCCAACACCCTCCAAACTATCAGAAGTCTTACTATGGAGAGTATGATCAACGTTGACACCAAGGAGACGACATCGACCCCTACTGTGGGGCTTATTATTATGCGAAACCAAAGAGGGCACGCTACGTGTACGCCTATCCTTCTGAGTCTTTGCCATCACCATTGTCTCCCCAGCATCAACATTATAGTCATTCTTCAAGGCCTCAGCCCGATCCTGTGGTATCGATGCCATCCAAGTCATCTCTTAAACATCACCTACTTCAACCTGCTTCACCTTGACCAACAATTACCGAAACTCGCCTGTACATCTATCGTACCAGCTCCTACTGTACCTCTGTCTCCCAACTAAGTACAACACTTTCTCAAGTGAGGTCTTCCTTTCTGCAGGTTACTACTACCTATAGATGACCACCACCAGCTTGTCTACCTGCCATTCCTCCATCCCTGCTGCAACCTGAGCCTCCACGTTGAGGTCTTGGCATCAGTCACCTTCTTTACCTGGTTCATACACCAGAGGATCCTCAGATACTGCAGTCTCTGACATCCTTGATCCACCTTCTGAAGCTTCCCAAGAATTGTCCTCGAATCTGCTATCTCCAGATTCTGATGTGGCTGACAATCACCTGCCTTCATCATCTGAAGATTTCACTTCATATTTACAATTGGTTCTACGTATGGTGAAATCCATCGAGCTTGCCACCAAAGCAAGACCTCGTCTTCGACAATATTAACCAGGACAAATCTCCACCACTCAGCCTAGCCTTCATCCTGGCCATGCTAGATCTCATAAAAGAGTCTTGGGACAAATCATCCTCTTCCCTCCAGATTTCTAGGTGGGTGGAGAATCTTTACAAAACCCTTGGAACTGATACTGCATCTCTCACTAAGCATCCGCCACCTAACTCGATCGTTGTCGAGTCCAATCAGTCTCGGGCTCGAAGCCACTCATCAGTAGTCCCCACAAATAGAGAGGGCAGGAAGTTAGACATCCTTGGCTACCGTCTTTACTCTCTAGTGTCCTTCGTTATGCAGGTCGCCAATTACCAAGTGGCCATGGGGGCCTACCAAAGGCAGCTCTGGAACAAGATGCTTCCTGTTCTACAGGAGTCCCTGGAAGACTCCAAGGAAGGAGCCTCAACGTGCATCTTGAGGCTTCCACCCTTGAGAAACAGCAGTGCATAGTGGTACACCACATTGCTGATGCAGCCTCTAAGTTTATGGCAATAGCTATTGCGCTTCGCTGGCATGCCTGGTTTTGTTTGGCTGGCATTATAGACAACACCAGATCCTGTATAAAAGACCTCCCCTTTGATGGGGTGGATTTCTTCAACAACAAAATGGATGAGGTGATGGACAGCCTCCATAAAATCTGAAAAACAGCTAAGTCTTATTCCACACAGCAACCATATAGATACCAGCGCACTCAATGGTGCCACTCTTCCACCTTTCAACTGCCATATCAACAACAGTTGATCTCTTCAACTGGGGTATCTCCCTCTCCACTTTGAAGGTTTATATTTCTGCCATTGTGTCTCAACAACCAACTGGGTCAGAGGCTTCACACCTCTTTTCACACCCGACCTTAAAGAGATTCCTCAAGGGCCTTCATTCGCCTGCTTCAGAGATCACCACTTCCCCAATGGTCCCTTCAGATTGTGCTCCATGCTCTCAGTCGCCCTCCCTTTGAGCGTCTTGCCATGACTTAAGCTTCTTTCCCTCAAGCTTCTTTCCCAGCAAGCTGGCAGCTCTCAGAGCTGATGCCCCTTATCTTCAATTTCATCCTGATAAGGTCACTCTCTATCCTAAGATTTCGTTCCTACCTAAAGTTGTTTCAGACTTTCACCTCAGTCAGCCTCTTATCCTTCCATCTCTCTTCCCTTCTTCATCATCGGATCTCGAGCACATGCTACATACTCTTGACATCAGACGCTCCTAGCCTTTTATGTCTCCAGGACAAAAGACTTTCGAAAATCCCCTCATCTTTTCTTTTGTTATCATGGACCACGCAAGGGTTCTTCATCCTCATCACAGACAATCTCTAAGTGGATAATCGAGACCGTCGCTTTGGCATACAAGCTGGCTGGTAAGCCTTCCCCAGATATTCTCAAAGCACATTCCACTAGAGCCATGGCTACGTCTAATGCCCTACTTTGCAGTATTGACACCTCCAACATCTGTCGAGCTGGCACTTGGTCTGCACCCTCGACATTTGTCATGCATTATCGGCTGGATGTTAGAGCCAAGAATGAAGCTGGCTTCGGCAGGGCAGTTCTTACTTCATTCCTAACGTGACATCCCTCCTCCAGGTAAGTTAGCTTGCTAGTCACCCATTCATGTGCATTCACAGATACCATGAAGAAGAAAGAGAGGTTACTTACATGTAACCATGGTTCTTCGAGTGGTCCTCTGAATCCACATGTCCTGCCAATCCTCCCCTCTGTCCATCATGTTGCTGTCTTCATTTCTCTGACAGTGGCAAACTTCTTTAGGAACTGAGGGAACCTTTTGACGGATGGCGCATGCACTCCGCGAGGGAATATCCCACTAATCACATGCTTTTAAGCTCTAGAAAGTTCTGAGGAGTCCTGAGCAGGCGCAGATTAACCCATTCATGTGGATTCACAGAGGAACCACTCGAAGAACCATGGTTACAGGTAAATAACCTCTCTCTCTTTTTGATAGATATATTCCTTCTCAGCAGTGAACATTCTGATAGTGTTCTCAAAGCTGATGTTAGTGCTCAATAATCTTGAGAACTAGACTTTGAATTCACACGTCTGTGTTTGACATCTAACCATTTACTGCTTTTGTCATATAGTTTTCAATGTAATTATTTTTTTTAAAAAAGAAAAGAAACATGAACATCCCAGGAAAGTGCTTGTGTACCAAATATTGCCCACCTTTATCTGTCTTTGTGTTCATAAACATTATTTGGCATGGATTCCTCCCTGCCCCCACATCTTCCTTCCTCTTGTCTGCATAGCTTTACTACTGTGTTTTCTCATGTCAGAATGTTTCATGAATTATGTTGCTGTAGTAAGCCTTCATAGCATTGTTTGAGCTAGTATTACCTATAGAGGGGTAAAAGCGAAACTATCCTAATGGAGGATTTGATTGATTGATTGCTTACTGACTGTCAAGTGGCTGTATTGGATCTGGAACATGAAGAGAGGAATGAAATTTAAAATGGACTTCCTGCAGATTGTTTTGTTGTACATAGTAACCTCTTGTTCTAAAATTACTTACAACATAACTTTAAAAAAACTATTGTTAAATTTCGGTAGGGTATTGAAATACAGGAAAACCACAGAAAGTAGGTCGTTAGCTGGAACTGGAACTAAGCCAGCTTGACAGGTAAGATAAATATTAAGCTAAATCTCTGGTGACTGCAGTGAACAATTCATATGTTATTATTTGGAAAAAAAACAGGCTTATTCTGAATTAATGTTCACTGAGTATTCGCTATTAAATATTTTAGCATAAAATTGTGATTTGGAGTGCCAAAGCCTTTTCTCCAAGTTTGCCATTTTTTTCCATGCAGTCTGGTGCCATTTTTTAATTTTTTGCTTAGCAGCTGTTGTTCTATGAACTGGTATCCTATGTCAATATGTAATTTCCCCTATAGTGCAAGACCAAGACATCAACAACATTTTTGTGCATTTTCTACAATTCACACAAAGACATTTTTGTGTGAACTGTAGAAAATGCACAAAAATGTTTTCAAGGAAAACTAGCATATTTTCCCTTTGTGGAATTAAGAGTATTGTGCATGTGCAGACATACACAAGCACACAGACATGCCGCAAGCACAACTGGACAGAATGATTGATCACAATAGTGTAAGTAATTTGTCCAGTGCAACAAGGCAGCACTGTGCACAGAGGTTACTCTTGAAAATGCACAAGAATCTTATCTGCACTCACACAAAGCTGATTTAGAGTGAGGGCAGAAAGCATTGCCTCTAAACAAATTGCTGAATGTTAGGAATGTACCATTTGTTCTTTTTTTTGGACTCAAAATCCCAGAACTCTCCATTCTGGGAGTTCCATCTGCCAGAGCCATACCTAAATAATGCTCACTGGAGAAAGGCTGAGAGTAGATTGAGCTCTGACCTAGTTTCCTGTTAGAAAAGGAAGTTGTCCTGTTGCTTGCTGGTAACTCCTGTACAGTATAACTTACAGAATCATATCAGCATTTGCCTGTTGCCTGTTACTGACCTTTATATTGAACTCTAAATATATTTGACTATAAACTGTGCACAGTGGCACAGTTTTCAATGTCACAAACCTTTGAATTGCTCTCTCCTGTATCTTGTCCTTCTCAAACTCTCCATATTTCAAAATGGGTTTGTATAGGACATAGGAAACTGCTGTTCAGAAAAAACATACCCTTGGGCCTGCAGAAGTAGTTTTACAGTTCTTTAAATCCTTGTCACTGATTCCACAATAATTTGGAGAATGCTACCTCTGCTTGCTTTCCTTGCAACTGGAAAGGCTGAGAAGTCTGACAGAGAGTTTGATGTTGTGCGGGCCATAAAAAGGTTAAGAAAAAAACAACATTCATTAATAACTTTTACAGAGTTTTGTAATAAAATCAGCTTTGATGCAACAACATACTCTCATAACTTCATTTTTGCCCGTCCCTTAAGGCTATCCATTTAGAGGATAAAATTCCAACCTTCGTATTCATTTTGAAAAGGAAGCTGTCTTTCCATTCCTAATTCTGATTTATCCCCACTGATTTTTCTCTGTGATATGAATTTTCCAGGAGAATAGCTACATACAGCTGATGCCCCCAGAACCCTTTGTAACACACATTTACAAGCAAAAGACTTAACTGGTGGTACATTCATTATACAGACCCCTTAGTTGTGTTTCTGGGTTCTAGATTTCTGTGCCCAGGAACGGAACCATTAACTTGTTCATATGCAGCAAGTTTGCTGCTAAGATTTGCAAGATCTCCCTTATACAAGCATAAATCAGCAGTAAGAGCCATGCCACTGTGTGGCAGTTTCTTTGCAGAAAGAAGTACAGAAGAAGTGTATATTGTATCCCAGGGGAGGAAAATTTCTGAGAGTCTGCCCTCCCCCTGATCCTGAAGGGCCATACACTACTGTCACCATGAAGAAACAAAATCAGTGGATCACTTTCTGTTTCTCTAAAGGGTTTAAAGGCCTCACATTTCCTCCAGTGGGGACAAACATATGTATAAACAGTAAAATAATGCCTAGGGCACAATCTGCAGTCTAGTTGGTGGGGAGACGGGAGGGGGTTGGTGTGCAGCCCACAAACCATATTTTGCCCATTCTTGTTCCAAATACTAGTTAGCAAAACTCTAAAGTTCATATTTAGCCCTGCTTAATTACATTTTAAAAGTAGGAAAAATAGCTAACAATAGCCTCAGCGGCTTATGTTATGAGGACACTAGAAGTTTCTATTTGCAAATTGTGTTTATATATTTACACTGAATGACAGTCTGGGTTTTTCAGATGTTAATGCGATTCATTGTACACACACAATTCTGCCAGCACCTGAAAAAATGTAAATAGGAAACATAGTTAAAGGTACACCAAGTAATAACCTACCTGAATTGACTTTTTAAATAAAATATTTTAAAACCAATTCTAATTGATTAGATATTATTAGATAGATATACTTTTACCTATGACTCATGGACCAGAATTCTGTTGCGTAAGGTAAATGTGCAAAAGGCTGATGATGTCATTAGCAGGCAGAGATTTTCAGTAATTACAGACTTCCTTATGTCCTATGGCTTGCAAGTAATGTATTTCATTGCATGGGAGCCAGAAGGAATAATCTAATTACTTTAATTACTAAAAATCCATAGATTTCTAGTAATCAAAATTTTATTCTTGTGACCTGCTGCTCCCGCAGCTTCTACTCAATGAACCAGATTATTCAGAAATTAGAGCCCTATTACACCATCAAATTGCTTGGGGTATGTTTCATTTATAAAACAGGTAAATTTGAAATATTTTTTCCTACCTGCATGGCACAAAGTCTGAATGAAATTGGTACAATCCATTTTGCTTGCATAGTCACTTTTTTCTCTTCTGCCTGGGGCTACTACTTTTTTTCTTGCTAGAAGGATTTGAAAGGGCTATTTTCTTTGCAGACAAGGCAAAGCTAGTTTGTAGACGAGGAAGGGGGGAGAGCAGAAGGAGAAGCACTAGCCAGGAGAAAAGATGGGGAGCACAGGAGAATGGGGCAATGGAAGAGAACAAGGAGTGTGGGGGGAAAGGGGCAAAAAGGAGAGAGCATGCATGCATGTGCACGCGTGCACACACAGCAGCACCAGTATTCACCTCTCTCTACAAAACCTCTGCTCCCCTAAACTGTCACTTTTTTGAAAAACAGCTTCCCTCTAAAAGACCTGCTTATTTATTTATTTATTCATTCATTCATTGTTGTACAACTTCAGGAACTCCTAGCAAGATAAGAGATAGAAGTTATTGGGAGGAGGGAAAGGCTTCTTAAAGACCCTTTCTTTGAACTGCACCACCTACAAAGCCTGCAAATGGAACTGCAAGTAGAGGTTTTTTCCTCTTCTGCCCTAATGCAACTTTGCAATGAGAGAATTTGTGTTGATTCACATTTCCTTTGCTATGTAGTTACAGCCTTAGCTAAACAACAGGAAAGAGGGAGAAAGTCCTTAATTGCCAAAGATCTCCCAGTTAGTGACATCACCAACCTTCCACTACTGTAACTTACACGAAAGGGTTTTGGCCATGATTTGAGCGTTTAACATATGCAGTAGTGTAGTCAAAAGAAAAGAGATAACAGCCTTATTAAATAGTGCAATATTGATTTTTAATTCACAAGGGCTAAGTAACCGGAGAAGCAAAGTATATAAACCACTGTGAAGAATGCTTTTGCAGCATCTTGTTAGCACATCTGTAAAGGCACAACTAGATCATTTTTTTCAGGTTTTAAATGACCCTAAAAGCAAACCCAATAGGTTTGCCAAAAATGACTTGATTTTTTTAAAAAATTGAGTGCTTTTGCTTTGCACTGCTTTACTTCACTTTGAGGGGCACAAATTGGAAATCCTTTCCAGAGAAAATTTTCCTTTCTCCCTTGTGTCTACACAGTATTATTAGTTCAGGCTCATGTGTTGCCACAGAAAAAAGTTAGCTATGACCTTAAGACCTTAATTACTCTTTTACTATCAGAAATTTCTTGTCACATATGTCTTTAACTTTGTAGACTGTGAAGGTAGCTTAAAATTGCTTCTTTTCTCTTTCTAAAGCATATATTAGAGTTGACCCTTAGTCCTAGATAAGGATTATTTTGTATTTACCCACTAGAATAAATGCTCTTTTGGCAATCTTTAGAATGTACTTTCACTTTTGTGCATTTTTCAAAGAGGAAAAAGATTGCTTTCCAAATATCCTAAGGTTAACCAAAGATTAAAGATACTCCCTGTATCTCTTGTTCTGCTATGATTACTCCCCTAGTATTCATGTGGAAGGCAAATGTACAGACAAAAGGAAAAGCAATAGATTTTAACTGCTGTGAATGGTTTCATCCAATATGTGAAGTCTTATGTCAGAAGGATCCAGAAATAGGTGCAAGAAGTATGTGTTTCAGGTTATTGTATATCATAAATGCTATTATGACTTGATTGCCAAGCCAGATTGCTAAAGCTCCCAACAAGAAACAGCCTAACTTAGATCAAGTTATCCTATCAAACTCTCACTGTATTCTACTGCTATGCTGATTTCTTATCCCACTTGAGCTCTCTCTGCTTATATGTCCATAGACTTTGGATTAGTTCCAAACAAGTTCCATCTAAGGTGTGCACCTGCATGACTCCCCCTCCCTCCATCCAGCTTTCCTCCTCTATGTAGCTATTGTTTTCAGCCCCTTTGGTTCCAGTCACAATGGAAACCCACACACCGGATATGGAGTCATACATGCACACAGGGGCGAAGTCATGTGCACAAGAGGCGGAGCTGGAAATTATAGGGTACATTGTTCCAAACTACTGGAGTTTAGTAAAGTCACTTTTTTGGCCTACAACTCCCAGAAGCTCTCAACCAACACGACCATGTTGGCCCTAAGATTCTAAAATGCATAGTCTCAAAAGAACATTTTCTATGTGCTTTTTGACATTGTCATGTTGTACAAAGCTAGCAGCACTTTTATCAGGTGCATATTTGTTGGTGACTGAACTCAAAGGCAAATATGGCTGCAATCTTGCTATAAATTGAAAATCCACACACCTGATTTACCAAAGTGTAGCTATGGCATTCGTTTGCTTGAGACTGTTCAGATATCTCACAGAAATCTAACACCAAAATTATTGTACACGGATGATGTACAGCAGCAGTAAATGTCAATTTTGTTACTGTCCTCCCATATGTCAATATATCAAGCTTTTAATCTTCTATGGAATTAGGCTTGTTACTGTTTTATTTATTTACTGTTTTATTAAGTTGCAGTGTGATATGAAGTGAGAATGTAGAAGGAATGTATTGAACAATCTCACTTTTCCTTCTATTACAAGTACTTTATGCAATAATGCTAGCTGTGTAGTTTAACAATAGGTGAGCAGTAAATTAGTGAACAGTAGTCTTTTAATATAGATAGTTATCAAGATGATTTTTCTTGAAATGCCTTCTCTTAGATTTTTGTATCAAGTATAAGAAAATTTCCTCAGGTTGTCTTTTAAAAGAATTAGCTTCTCAACAATAGGACCATGCCATCTTGAGGAAATATAAGAGGGAGACGATCATAAAAAACAATGTTAGTCAGAATACCTAGCTGTAAGAATTTCATTGTATCCCAAAAGCAAAGTTGTTTTTGCCACAGGAACTGTTAACAGGCAATATTATTTTTTAAAGTTATTTTTAGGGAACAATGGCTGAAATCTTGTTGGCTAGCATATTATGTCACACTAGAGTAGGCCAATTGAATCATTGGGGTTTTGATGAGTTAACTCCTTTGCAAGTTTCATTGATTCAAGTGAACTTATTCTAGTTGTTACTTGCTATGCTAAAGTAAGTCACAACTAAAGTAGACCCATTTGAATCAATACTATTTATGGGGTTGACTCACTAAATCTGGACTGATTCAGTAAGCCAGTTGTAGTTTGACTTAGTACATTAGGCAATAGGATTCCAGCCAGTATGTACATCTATTTGAGGTTTCGTGTTTGAGGGCTTACTGCAATGCAATTCAGTTCTGTTCAGTTGAATTGAGTGAGGCTGATTAAGCATGATTCATTCAGTACTGCCAATCATTCTTTCTTCTGCTAAGAGTTAATCTAAAATGTGCATTTACACCAGCATGACAAACTGTTAGACAATTTAGCTCTACACATTACACCTGAAACCTCCAAAAGGCTAAATGGATGGTACGGATGGAAATATGTGATTTAGCTCTACCCCCATATCTCCACCCTCCCAGAAGTCACTCGGACCTTTACATGATTACCATGAAGTTGTGAAACAGCCTGTTAGTTTGTAGAGCTAAATGCATTTAACAGAGCTCCTGTGATAGGTACCCCTGCCTTATCTGTTGAACAAGTTTATGGGCTCTTCTTCAGACCTTCACACTAATCATACGAAGCTCAGAGTGACTTGTAGCTGGGGTGCGGCTTATAAGCCTTCCCACCACCTGCTGAGCCTTTCTACAGAAGGATCTCAGACAATAATGTTAGCCTCATTACATGATCTACAAGTGTTTGAGGCCGAGAATACAAACTGTTAAGCCGTATTCTCTTACCATATGAAGATTCCACTTTAAATGTCGAAGACACATACAAATAGGACACTTAATCCAGTTGTTCACCACATTTTTTTACAAAGAAAACTACTCTTTTATCAATAGTGATGTATGCCGTATTTGGGCATAATATTGCTGGTTTCACAAGCTGATTTATTAAACTACAAAACCACAGTGTGCTAAGCTGGCAACATTATGTTCAAGAATTGTCTGTCTTGCTGAAAGATATTTTTAATAATATCACAATTATTTACAAAGGAGAAAAACATATTTGGCCTATGCAGTCCTTCCTTCTCTCTCTTGCACACAGGTATCAGCATGAGGATCATCAAGTAGTATGAAATCAGAGATCCTCACTGTATTATTCAAGATGGACAACTCTGGTTTCTTGTTATTAAACTAATCTACCGTATTTGCTGGCATACAAGACGTCTTTTTGGCCCTGAAAAACATGCCTCCAAGTGGGGGTGGGTCGTCTTTTACGCTGGGTGCACTTCCAGCAAACCCTCCCTCTCTCCCAGCGAAGTCACTTACCTGGTAGTAAGACCGAGTAGACCTAGCCTGCTCCTCCTTGGTAGCCTGGGAACAGCCTGACTCTAGCGCCAAACAGCTGACTGTCGGTAACCAGCAGAGAGGCGGCAGCCATTTTGAGATGACCACATGGCTGCTGCCCTCAAAATGGCTGCCGGCTCTCCAAAATGGCTGCCACCTCTCTGCTGGTTCCCGACAGTCAGCTGTTTGGCGCCGATGCTGTCCTTCTTTCAGCAAACCTTCGCTCTCTCCCAGCGAAAGGAACCAAAGGCAGCAAAACGAACTCTCCCCATGATGCAGCCAAAGCAGAATCACGCATGCGGGAGAGGGGGTAGTCTTATACAGCAAGTATATAACAAACTACATTTTGAGTGGAAATGTTGGGGGGTCATCTTATATGCCCAGTCGCCTTATACACCGGCAAATACGGTAGATGTTTCTTCTTTTTTTGAGAGAGAGACATGGCCAAATCATAACCTAGATGTACTTAAACAATTTCCCCATGAACATTCATCTTAGAAGAAAAAATGTGTATGGTTTTCTAAGGCAAGAGACCTAAGCAGGAGTGTACGAGCTATTTACTATGACACACTTCTAAATATCTTATGCAGATTTCCATTAAACTGTTTCAGGATTCTCTTGAGTAAAATATATATAGTTCAAGCTTTTCTGTATGTGGAATTTAAGCACAGCTTTAGCTGCTGTGTGCCAGGGCTAATCCTAATCCATTTGTCTCTTGTTTGCACATCATTCCCAACTCATTTTGGAATTTACAGAAAAAACCTGGGGGGGGCAGATCCTGAATTTGTGAATTTATAGTCCTAATCTGGAAAAAAATGTATTAAAGGAACTACTGGATACCTCGGTGGTTTAGGTTTCAGGCCATGGAGCCAGAGTTTGGGAGTTTGATTCCCTACTGTGGCTCCTTGACAGGGGCTGGACTCAATTATCCATAGAGTCCCTTCCAGCTCTGCTGGTCTAAGATTACAGTGGTGCCTCACTTAGCGATGTTAATCCATTCCGGAAAAAACATTGCTAAGTGATTTAATCGCTAAGAGATTTTAAAAAGCCCATAGGAACGTATTAAAACGCGTTTAATACGTTCCTATGGGCTAAAAACTTACCTTAAAGCAAAATTCTTCCGTAGAGGTGCCCATTTTGGGTGCCTCTACAGCAAGGCAAAACAGCGGTGGCCATTTTGTTTTTGCGACAGCCATTTTGGAACCGGCAATCAGCTGTTTTAAAAAGTTCGCTTTGCCATGATTGCTCCCCCGCAATCATCGCAAAGCAAATTTTAACCATAGAGGACATCGCTGAGCGATTGCTCCAGCGATGGCCAAAAGTCCATTGCCAAGCAATTTCATCGCTCAACGGAGCAATCACTAAGCGAGGCACCACTGTATTATTATAATCTCTGTGTGTTTGGTTCATATCCTTGCAGAAGAGATGCGTGAAGCATTGTATCTATACAGTACTTTAGCCTCCCTGCCAAAATTGCATTGCTGCTGAAAATGCATAGTGAATGTTGAAATGGCACATAGTACAATAAGCTTTCTTTGTTGGGATATAAAGGCTAGGTTCCAAAGTGTACGTGAAATACATATTATCAGACATACTAGATAAATGCGAAAGCACTAGTCTATACTGAAGCTGAAAATATCAGCCTTAGATACCAAGTTCATTCTTTCTAGAGATTATTTATAGAGTTTTCCAAAATCCCAGTATACCTACCCTTAAAAAGTAATTCACAAGGCTCAGCAGGAATCCTCAATAATTGGTTTGGGGATTTTCTGTTCTATTTGATCAGTAGTAGATTCTTCTGATAACAAAAAAATGTTTAGGTTGTTTCAAAGAGCTAGACAAGGAAGAAAAATCTTGCCAATATTATTCAGCTAGTTCTGCTATTATTTGAAAATGCACTTGACACACAAACAAATATATATATATTTCCCAGAAGAAATTTTGGGGGTTTCATGACTGAATGTATCTGTAATTGAAAACTATGCATTTTCATTAAAACACATAATTTCATATGACTGAATATCTTGTTAAATATCTACAATAGTTGTATAATGCCCATGGAGAAATTGTCTTAACTTTCATTCCTAGCACATTGAGCATTCATCTACATTTTTAAAAAGGTATCAGTATAGGAGATACTATGTTTACCTGTTTTTCTGGGTAGTGTAGTTAAAGATAGCAGACACAATCCAAACTAAATCATGTGCTTTGAGTCCTATTTATAGGGAGTATGGAGCAATCCTGCCAATTGTTTAGAACACTGAGGTTGCTGATAAAGCAACTGTTATAAATTCGGCAGCTAGATGTAGGAGCTCATGGGCAGCATGTACTGCTTTGCTCACTTTGATGATAGTGGGAAGGAATGAACTGGCAAAGTACAGGCTTGTTTCTGTGGGTGGAGAAACAAGGGAATTTTGGACATGGCCAATCTGTAGATGCCTTCTGGAACGCCGCTGGCAGACACACACACCTCTCCCAATACCAGCAGCTTTTTTTCATTTGTGTAACACAGGACGTCTTGTACAGGGTCCTCTTGTCATCTCCACCAGTTGTGCTGTACTTCCACTGCGTCATAAAGTCCTTCAGCCAGCCTCCCTTAATATGTGGGATTGCTGCCTTATTTGGGTGCTGAAATCACTCACATTTAAAAAATCACTTGGTCCTCAGGACTCTAATTTTTGGTTGGGTTGTGGCCGATGTTTATGCTGAACTGAAGGCTACTCAGGTGTATTAAATGGCTGACTAAATTACTGCAAATGAATACATCACACTTTTTAAAATGACTACATCTATTAAATCCAATGAGCCAATGCATAAATTTATCCCGGTTCTGCCATTATTTTCTTTAATTTTTTTCTAATGCCACACATCAATTTTTAAAGATGTATTTAATACAGAGAGGTGAAACATAATATTTAATCAATTGCAGTTGTATAGATGAGGAGCACAAAGTTAAAAATTACTTAACTTGATGCCATGATTTCAATTAAGTAGCACTAAAACCTTAATAAAATGTTTAAAACTTCTGCCACATGTTGCTGTCACATGCATGGTTGTTAAATATTTTCTGTGTAATTATAACAAGTACATACAGGTATTAGAAAAACTAGCATCCATCCAATACGCGAAGAGAGAACTCTGCTAGTCTAGTCAGATTCCAACTTTACAGCATACTGCTCTTTCATCTGGGGACCTGGCACAAGATTCAGAGACATCTACTTGCAAATATAATATTGAAGGTATAGTCTTTGGAGCAGTGTATGCAGATATAGGCCTTTGTCCAAGGCACAGCTTGGAAAAGTTACTTTTGGAGATTAATGCTCCAAGACCCCAAGCCAGCATTGCCACTGGATATGGAATGGGGGGAGGTTTTAGCACCCCCAACTTTTTTTCCAAGCTCTGATCCAAGGTTGTACTATTGAATGATTCCTAGTGTGTCTGAACATTTTTCTCCTTCCCATTGTAGGCTTCCACATTACTTGAACTAGTTCTGCTGGATTTTGCAGCCTTCCAGAACTAGTTCTAGGGTTGTATGGGGAGGCTGTGATATGGAATCAGGATCATCCACCTCCCAGTCCTGCTGGCCAAGGCAGTTCTGTCAGGAGAATCAGCCATCCTGGCAATAGCCAGCACTACTACATCACTAGAGGGCTTGTTCATTATCATATTTTACCTGTGCACCAGAGGAGTGATTTCTAGCTTGACCTGGCAATTATATCCAAGCCTACCTTGAAGGAAGGACTGGAAGTTAATTCACTTGAATTAAGCAGGAATCTCTCTTGGGCATAACTGCAGCCTACCTCTACCTTGGCACGAGGGCAGACGGCAACTACCCTAAGTGAATGCTGCAAAAAAGAAAAGAAACAAACCCAACAAACATGTTTCTTTCAAAGCCTGTATGACTGTGTGACATTGCTGGAGTTCTTTTTTTCATTGGAATTTGGAACTCCTTCCAAAGAATGCAATGAGGGTGAGTCATCCATGTCTTTAAGGAGGGTTTCTTTTATTGTCTGTTTAATAATGGGAAATTCACTTTATAAATATTTGAAAGAGCTTCCAATTTTGGCACTAATGGAAATACTGGATACTTTTAATATATATTTAGAAGGTTATTTGAAAAGAATGTTCTGTCTTTTTATATAATTTTTAGCCAAATACAAATATTCTGATTTCTACTTCTGTGGGTTCCTATCAGGCTGTAAATGAAAAAAATTAAATTAAATCTAAAAACAAAAAATGAAAAAAAAATCCTTTAGGTTTCAGAACCTGAGGCATGGGGATAGGGGTCAATTACTGACTGTTTGAAATTATTGCTAGCTTTTGGTATATTGTGTCTTTGTGTGTATATATTATACATATTGAAAATTATAAAT